TTGATTTTTTGCATAGAATTGGTAGAACAGCTAGAATTGGCAAAAGAGGTAAAGCTACTTATTTCATCACATCATCCAATAGAATCTTGGCAGAAAGAATCAAAAGGAACATTAGAGATAATAGAGTTTTATCATGATAAACTGCTAGATTCCAAGTTATTTACTATTAATTTTTAATTGGAAAAAAAAACATCTTTCATTTTAATTTATAAATTTGTAATATATTTTAATCACAATGTGCATTTTACAATTTTAACTAACATAAGTAAAAGTAAAAATGTATCTAATTTTAGTGATAATTTATTTAGAAAGTAACTCCCCTTCTAGATAGAATTTTGAGTACAAATGAATCATTATGACTTGTATCAATGGGCCTTTAATGCTGAGCATTGAGTAACATCAAAATTATTCAAATACTGCTCAAATCTCCCTCACTTGATTTCTTTTTTTGTGAAGATAATGATAATGTATAAATCTTCCTTTTCATTGATACTATCTCTGTATAATATAATAAAACTATCAATATCATCCAACATAAAAAAATAAGATATTGCAAAATATTTCTTGGATAATTATTTTCTTAACCATTGAATTGATTTAGAGTAATTTAGCAAGCATAGAGCTGAACTACTATAGATTTCATCAATGAGAGGATAGTAATGTATTGTTTCATACAGTGAAAATAACAAGAACTCTACAAATTTCATCAGAAAGATAGGAATTGTATTGTCACATACACTGCCCTCCAAAAAGTATTCGGACGATGTTTTTCGATAATTACGCAAAATGCCACATAACGAAAGTACATAAAATTTATACCATATATGGCTTAGGTTTTGGCGGCTCTACATATAAATTTTCATTATACTGTCTTTCTTTTATGATTTTTAGTTAAAAAAAAACGAACACCAAATAAATCGCGAGGATTATCTTTGCGAATTTTTAATAATTTTATGTTTCTCAAAATCTTATATTATAAAATTCAATAAAAATTTAATAGTTTGTAGTTTAGGTCCTCATAAATAAACGACTAAAACTTTACGTTCCTGTCACGTGTGAAATTTTTGTTATTAAAAATAAACTGATATCAATAAAATTGATTAGATCAAAAAAAATTTCACGATTTTTTTTGATTTTTAAAAATGGCAAAAAATTCAGGATTAACTGAAGCTGAGCGAGGAAAATTTTAGGTCTAAGAATAGCTGGTAGTTCTCTTTCAAAAATCGCAAAGATACTTAATATTCCAAAGTCTACAGTTCACGACACTATCAAACATTATGAGAATGCCGAAAATTTTAAAAAACATATAAAATGATCATCATAAAATAAGATAAATTTTGACCAGTGTTTGTTTTTTTAACTAAAAATCATAAAATGATAAAAAAACGAGATTTTTCACATAGGTTCTCCAAAACCTAAGCCACATTATGACATAAATTTTATGTACTTTCGTTATGTGGAATTTTGTGTAATTATCGAAAAACATCGTCCGAATACTTTTTGGAGGGCAGTGTATGTAAAAACTATATAAATAAAAATTGCATCAGAGCCTTCAAATAAAGAGATACAGACATGAAACTAAGGGAAATTATAGTAAATAGATTAAGCTAAATAAAAAATAAATTTTTTTATATATTCTAAAGAAATTGAAAAAACATTGCTAATAGAAAAACTTTATAACCAAATGAGATAGGGAAAAAATCTCTCTGTAACTTTATTGTAAAAGACTTAAACAATAAAACTATAAAAGGTTTTGTTTAATTTATTATGTAAAAAAAAAGTTATCATGGTTTAAAGTTATTCAATTTATTATTAAATGTTACCATAAAAATTTACATTGTAACTGATAAATTAATAGAAATTTCTTTTTAATTCTGTTGACATTTACAATGTGTTGAAATATATGATAAAGATACTAAAAAAATCCGCATATAATAATTTGTTGTAACATATGTTTGATGATCAACAGCCATGGAACACTACAACATGATATGCCTGCCATTCATTCATTAAGAAGTTTGTTGTCATTCAATCTAAAAATAATTAAATTGATGTATTAATTGCCTCCAAATGAATCAGACTAGACAGAACCTCGGAAACTACATAGATGGGTTGCCCGAAATCAATATGTAAAAAATTTAATGAAGTGTGTATTCACGTGATACTGTAGATGAATTAAACAATGAATCGGATAGTTTGGGCAATTAGGGAAAATTTCCCAAAAAATCCGTAGAAAGTTTTTATTAAGGTTTATTATGGAGCCGTTCTTTGAACTTTATCCGTAAACCGAGATTTTTAATTAGTATCCGCTAAATCGAGGCAGTATATTATGTTAGGAAACCTCGCAATTATTTGAATTTTTTTCGGATAAAATTGTATTTTAAAAGTTTTAAAAATAAAATTGCTTATAACTAGAATAAATCAAATACTCATTTCAACCAATCTATCGCCCATGTACAAATAAGTAGTATATAGTACCGAATAGATGTAGAGTGAATGAATACGGGAAAACGGGGAAATACACTTTCCCGTACCTAGAAATATTAATATGGAAACCGGTGAGGAGTATTTTTGATCTGGACAATAAAAAAGAACCATAACAATAAAATGATGTCTTGAGAAAAATCCTATATTTCATGGAGTTTTCGAAGCTATAACAATAAATATAATAAAATATTATTATATGGATATAGTTTCTATGCCAAAATGTTCTACATAATAATAAAGAGTTACGTAATGATGATATAGGAGTGACCAAATTTGTCTTTTTTACACTATAGTCCTTCTTTATTGTCTAAGTCCTTTCGTACATGAAAAATGCATTTTAATACGGGGGCACGTAGAAAAATCTACCCCGTACCGTTTCTGTATGTTTAGGTTCATTTTTCATATATTAATATTAATATATACAGTATATTCCGTATGTATTCAGTACTAGTGCTGGTGCCTATTTACTATTTATCCAGTACATAATTTTTTATAAGGTGAAGGTTAAATGAAGTGATTGAGAAAAAAGGTGATAAGATAAGCTACTAAGTAGTTTTAAGTGAACTTATTTATCAAATTATAGAGAGCATATCTATAAATTTTCATGTACAATAAATAAAAATTCCATTCCGAAAACTTTTATCGTGCACTGTAAGAGAAAAAGACAACGAATTTGAACTCCTGGCACATGAATTCACGCGAATTGATTATTATGAAAAAACATACTTTAGAGAATTTCATGGATTATGATTATGAGACAGCAAGTTTAATAGTATTTATTTCAATTATTAAAAAAATTGAAAAGCACGAGTCATATATGAATTGATCGACGAACTTTGAATAAATCAAAATTATATGTGGTCATGTGAAAATTAAATTTATGCAAATCTTTAAGAAAAATTTTTTTGATATAGTTTTATTAATTTTATCCCCCCGATAATTTCAAAATAAACTTTTATTAAAAATTGGTATGAAAACAGTCTGTTGCCTATAATTTAAAAATATGGACTTATTTTTTTGATTTTTTTGTTTGCAAAAAAGTTTTACTATGCTTAATTATAAAAAATACATTAAAAAATGGTTTAAAATAAAATAATAAAATGTGAACGAAAAATCCAAGTCCATAATGTGAAAAACAAAGTTTTAAGCTTTCATTTGATACCATTTTGATGACTATAACTAAAAAATTTGTGGACTGAATAGATTTTGAAAACACGCGTAATTTTAATAAAATTTCAAATGATTTTTTGTTCAAATTTTTATTTTTATAAATATGGTTTTGCAAGGTTATTTTTAGACTGATTTATGTAAAAAAACGTAAATCTTTATTTATTACGAATATTTTCAAAATCTATCTAGTCCATGAATTTTTTAGCCACAGCCATAAAAATAGTATCGAATGAAAGCTTAAAACTTACTCTTTCACTTTATTGGCTTAGATTTTTTGTTTTTGTTTTATTGTTTTATTTCAAAGTATTTTTTAATATAGAATTTATAATTGAGCATAGTAAAACTTTTTACAAACAAAAAAATCAAAAAAATAAGCCAATTTTTCAAAATATAGGTCATAGATTATTCTCATACCACTTTTTGGCAATGGTTTATTTGATAATTATGGAGAAGATAGAATTCGAAATTCGTTAATTTTTATTGTTATTAAATCTCTACATATTAATTTTTATATATAATTTTGCTCTACATAGTTGACAGACCACCCAATGGCGTATCATATCATAAATTAAAATAATGAATGTCTAATTATCGGAATTAATGTTAATGAATTTATTACAGTATTATTAGTATTATTTAAACATTTAAAAAATTATTATGATCGTTGTTCTTCTGCGAGAGTTCTTTATTCATTATCATATAAATAACTTTTTCAAAAGATTTATTATTTCTCTTATAGTCATAGAAATCATTCGGTATAAGCTGATAATAACCGGTCGTTGTGAAAAAGTATTTTCGATAAGTTGATGCGACGATTATAAAGGATGCGATAAATGTAGCAAATGTAATGAATGCAATAGCGAGCCATAAGGTTCTTGTGAATATTGAAGAACAACGCCACCAATGACGTATATAACTTTTTAATTGATTTCTGTTGAAGGAGGCGAAGGAGTAGTCTTCTTCAAGTAACAATATTTTTTCAATTCTTTCTACATGTATAACTTCTAAGCCGCCGACTTCCACAACAGTCATAGATATTATTATACGATTAATTTCTAAACCGTTAATATTCGTCTGAAATGATTCTATCGAAGAACTTATTCTAACAGCTATATCATAATTATCAAAGGAACCATCAATTTCTTCTATACTAAGATCAGCTGGAATGACTTTTGCTTTAATTAGCTGTGATTAAAAAAATGATGAATGATCGTTAATAAATTTTTCTTGACGAATATCTTGATAAATACATTTTTATAATTAATTGAACACTAAATTTACATGAAATGAAGTTATTCCTAGTTTCATTGATGCATTATTTACTATTAATTTATTATCTTTTACTTTTAAATTAATTGCAATGGCAGAATTATTTTTGAGCGTTATATCTACATAATTGAAAGGAACAATAAATCTTTCGTTTGTGTGAAAATTTGTTAATGGTAATGATGATGGGATATTTTCAATCGATGTAGGATTTGCTGAAACTGTTATTTAGAAAGGAAAGAAAAAGAAAATGCCGATTAATAAAAGATTTGTAACTTTCCACGGAAATTAATTGATTAATTAATTAATTACCAATTGCAAAGGCAAAAACGAAAACTAAAAATAATAGATTAAAGGATTTTGAAGTCATTTTTTATATGATCAAAGTAATGTGTGAATTTGTGAAATTCAATTCATTTATAAAGAAAAATATTGTCATTTATATATATTTCAAATCTAAAAATAGCTATACACACTTCACGTAAAGAGAGCCTGATATCCGTTTATAACTTTAACTGTTACACCAACCCATTACTATTTCTATGCTGTACGACATTATAACTTCAACTTTTAATGATAGTAATGGCGTGTGGTAACCAAATTATCATACTAGTGTTTACAGGGTAATTCTAAATATGGAATTCGAACCTGGAAAAAAAAATTGGTCGATCAATTCACATATGTTGCAAATGAGTTAATATTTAACGTGAAAATAAAATTTTTTCAAAACAAAAATTCTGATTATCGCTTCAAACGAATATCATCTATGATAAAACGGGGGGAGTTATGCATTGTAAATGACTTAAATTTTTTATGGTTAGGAGGTTATCGTCATCTAAATGTATCAAAAAAAATTGTGCAACTTCAACTATTTTCCTTTTTTTAAGTTTTTTTTCAATTTGGTACAAGACGTTCTTTCCTATTTAGTAAAAAATTTTTGATCACGTGATCAGGACTGGTTCAAAAGACTATCGTCATATTTTTTTTGTAAACAAAAAATGCATTAATATTAATATAACAACTAGTTATTTATTTTATTATATACAAAAAAACACAGTAACAGATAATTCTATTATCAGTTACGAGGTAATGATTCTTCAGATAGACAAGAATTTAAATATATAGGAAAAATAATAAGTAAAAGTTACATGCCAACTTTTCGTTTTTATAATATATTAAATAATAAACGTTACTATTATAATTACACGCCAATTTTTCGTTTTTATAATATATTAAATTAATAAACAGCTAATACTAAATTCATTTATTGCAGTGTGGTGCAGAAAGTTGTGGGACTAGGTGCTTGCACCATATATTAATATTAATAATTTGTACTTGAGTCACGTGATTTAATTTACAGTCTAGACCGAAAATATCGGACCGTAACATCATATCACATTAAATATTTTTCTCTCAATAAACTCAATCTCAATAAAAAAAATTTCACATTCTTTCAAAAGTCAAAACCATGAATGATATTAGACAACGTAAAACCAAGCAGGCTTTAGACGAGCCCGATCCTCTTTTTATTTACAACTTTACTGACGAACCTACCAAATCAAGAAGAAATCAAGCTAATGGTTTAAAGGCGTTTTCTTTGGATTCAGTAAATCTGATCGTTCTAGTAATCGTTGCAATAATAGTGAGATTATATAAAATTAGTCAACCTACCTCAGTAGTGTATGTATTATTCTATTAAGATAATTTTTGTTCTATATAAATTAAAATTGCTCTTAAAAAAATATTCAAAATACTCTTCTTTCCCATTATAAAAAGTTTTGATGAAGTACATTTTGGTGGCTTTGCATCGTATGTTAATGAATTCTATGGTTTATTTTTGTCAGCATGATTATTTTAAATAACGTATCCAATATATATTTATTTATTCAACTAATTTTTGATTTATTAAAAAGCAAATATGCAAGAGGAAGATTTTTTATGGATGTACATCCTCCGTTGGCAAAATTGTTAATAACATTTGCTGGTTTGTTGGGAGGGTTTGATGGCAGTTTTGATTTTAAGGAGATTGGAAAGTAAGTTTCAATTAGAATTTATTAACTTCATATATAATATTTTAAATAAAATCCAATCTTCTCTTTTTAGAGATTACCTTGAGTCTGAAGTCCCATATGTTGCAATGAGATTGATGCCAGCAATATTAGGAATTTTTCTCATTCCTATTTCTTATTTGACCATGAAATACTCGGGATTTTCAACAACATCGGCTTTTTTAGTTGCATCATTATTAATATTTGGTATTAAAATTTGGTAATCTCTTATTATTAATATTTTATTTGTTCAGTCTTCTATACCGATTTATTAATTTTTCACGGTAATTATAAATTACAAAAAAGAAAATGGCTTAGTAACTCAATGCCGACTTATTTTATTGGACTCTCCATTAGTTACATTCACTGCCTTTACAGTCTTAATGTGGATAAAGTTTCATAATGAGCATAAGAGGTAAAAACGATTTAACACGTATTAATTTTCATTTTAGTTTATATATCAAACAATAATTAAAGATTTCTAAAATGATAATAAAATTAAAAATAGACCCTTTCAATTTTGGTGGTGGGTTTGGCTTATTATGACAGGCGTTGGTTTGGGCCTTACTTCTAGGTAATATAATGTTGATGGATTCCTTTTTTTTATCTATGGATCAAAAAATCTTGATATATTAAACTTTAATTATAATATTAGTGTAAAATGGGTTGGTCTTTTCACCATCGCAACTATTGGTTTTTCAACAATAAAAGGACTTTGGGATTTACTAGGAAATTTGAGAGTGTCACCAGTATGTTAAATTATTCTAAATATCCATCTATTATCGAATCCAATAGCCTTTTTTTTCATTAAAGTGGTGATTTTTATCCCTGTATTCATTATAGACTCAATGGACCAAACATTTTATGGCTAGAGCTTTAGGCTTGATTATAGTACCTATCGCATTATACATGTTCTTTTTTTCAATACATTTTCTAATATTATCAAATAGTGGTGATGGTGATGGGTTCATGAGTACTGAATTTAGACAAACATTGAACGGGAATTATAAAACAAAAGATACACCAATTGGTATGTTTTTATATTGATTTCTTTTTACAGGCATCTTCATGCATTAAGTGGTTCTAAAGTTCTTTTTATATAATAATAATAATGAATTTTTTATAGATGTTGCATATGACTCTATGATTACAATCAAACATGTTAATACAGCAGGAGGATACTTGCATTCTCATAGACATAATTATCCTGAAGGAAGTAAACGTATGTAATGTGCATGATTTTGTATGGTGCTAACAGCTTATAACCGTCAATTTTGCAAATTGGTTCTTTTGAAAGACTAGTGATTTTTTTTAGAAAAAAACTGTAATTGGTCAATTTCAATTGCCATAGGATAACTATACCGATATAATAATAATAATAATCCATTGAGAATTACCAACTTACTGGTAATTTGTACAGAGATTAGTGAAAATAAAATGATATGATCTCAAAGATTAAGAATTGGTAAACTTTCAATGAGGTTTGGAATATATGAACACATTAAAAAAAAAGATCAGTGAATGTAAAAAGGCCTTATAATAATCAATTGAACTATGGTTATTAAAATGTTAAGTTCTGAATCGTATATAGTGGCTATAGACTGTTAGCACCATTCTTCAACTATTTAATTTATAATAATAATAATTTTTCTAAATTATCTTTCTAAAATTAGAACAACAAGTTACTTTATATCCTCATCGTGATGGTAATAATGATTGGCTTATACAGAATATTACTGAATTAGAGATTCCACTCAATGAAACCGATCCTATTTGGGTTAAAGATGGCAGTATAATAAGATTATATCATTTGAAAACACACCGACGATTACATAGCCATGATATAAGACCTCCTTTAACAGATGCAAAATATCAAAATGAAGTTAGGTCGGTCATTTTTTACAATAATAAATTATTTATTATCTATTATTCATTATTATTTTCAAAAATAATTTTTTTACTAAATTATATATATTATAGTACATATGGTTATGAAGGATTTTCGGGCGATGGTAATGATGATTGGCGTGTAGAAATCGCTGATTATGATAAATCAGATTCAGAATCTGGAAAAAGACTCCGTGCTCTTCATACAAAGTTTCGTCTTAGACATGTTGTGACTGGTTGTTATTTGTTTTCACATTCCGTGAAATTGCCCGATTGGGGTTTTAATCAACAAGAAGTTACGTGTGTTAATGGTGGATCCAAACCTAATACAATCTGGTATATAGAGTCAAATTCACACCCAAAATGTAAGAATTTTAATTTATTTGATTAATTCCCACTGAAAAATTGTTTTTCTTATTTGTGTGTATATATATTTTTTTTTCTTTTTCAAATAGTGCCAGAAGATGCAGAAAAAGTAAATTATAAAAAAATTGGGTTTTTTGGAAAATTTTTTGAAATTAATAAAGTAATGTGGACTACAAATTCTGGATTAACCGGTTCACATCCATATGAGTCTCGTCCAAGTTCTTGGGTTTTATTAGATCGTGGAATCAGTTTCTGGGGAAAGGATCACAGACATATTTATTTAATTGGGAACCCTATAGTATGGTGGAGTTCTTCATTGGCATTATATTTTTATATTGTAGTAGAAACTGTAATTATTTTAAGAGCAAAAAGAGGTTATTCAGATCATTTAAACCGTAAGTTAATTTATCATCATCATCATTTTTATTTTTGTTTCTGACAACTAAAAAAAATATTTTATTTTAGCGTTGAAAGAATTTTATGAATCTTATGCAAGTTTCTTTTTTCTTGGATGGTTTCTTCATTATTTTCCATTTTTTTTAATGGCTCGTCAATTATTCTTACATCACTATTTTCCTGCATTATATTTTGCGGTTTTACTGGTTGGTGTTGGGTTTGATTTTTTAACAATCCGATTGAAACCAAAAAATCGAATTATAGTAGCATCAGTATTCATAATAATAAGCATATATGCATTTTCACAATTATCACCATTGGCATATGCTGAACCATGGACAAAAAATGACTGTTTAAAGGTTAAAAAATGGGGCAGTAGATGGGATTTTGATTGCAATCAATTCTATGATTCATATGACCAGTATTACACAAAAGATTTAACCGTAATAAACAATATTAACAACCAGACAAATATTGATATATCATCTTCGGATATAAGCCATACATTATCATCGGATCAACAACAAAAACAGGAAAATGATAATAAAGAAAGTTTACAAGAAATCAAAGATGATGTTGGAGAGGTAGGTAAATCGATAGATTTAGTTGAAAATGATAATAAAGAAAATTTACAAGAAATTAAAAATGATACTGACGGGGTAGATGAGGCGATAGATTTGGCTGATGTAATTGACAACGAAGTTCTAAATATATAAAAAAAAAACTAAAATTGGATCTTCAATTAAAAAACATTTGCCATTTTTTATTTATTTCTTTTCATTTTTATCATTTACATCTTTTAGAATATTATTAGCTGAAATAAATCTAATCAAAAAAATATATAATTATTATTTAACAAAGTTTTAATAAATTACAAAATTTCATTATTACTAATGTATGTACTAACAATGACGCGTGAACCAAGCCTAAATTTTGAATATGAGATATTTGATCCAAGGTGGTTTCCATATTTTTTTCAATATTTATCATATTTTTTTGTAGTTTGTTTATTTGATCATTTAAAGAGTTATAAAGCTTACGTTTTGCTGACGTGTTGGTGTTATTGTTATTCATATTTTTTTTTGATTTCGAAAAAAAAATTTACTATTATTAATAAATAATAATAATGTAATATATACTAATACTAATACTAATAGTGAAATTTCAATACGCGGAATCTGACGTGTTACGTTACACGTTAATATAATACTGCAGATGGTTCCTAAATTTGTATTATATAGTTTGAAACTTTGAGAATAGCGCGTAGCTGCCAGCAAGCCATTTATTTTAACATAGTACGATACAAAGTAGATTAATTCATTGTATAGTAAATATATCATTTTTTTAGTAAATAATTTTTTTTTTTACAGATGATATCCTTAACAATACTTTATATTTCATAAAAACTTATTTTTTTTTAAAAAAATTTTTTTTTATTTTTGCTATATACTCTTCCCACTATATACGGTAGGACAAAAATACTATAGAAATAGTCAAATAACTGATCTATAAACATAAACACACACACACATATATGTAATTATAAAAATGAACCAAATTCAAGTCAAGTGTATTAAATAAATATACTTGACAACTGTTTAATGATTTCTAGCTTCTTAATCTAATAGTTTTTGGTTTTATTTTTAAATTAGAATCAAATTTATAAATGGAATCTGTGCTAATGTGATTATGAGTATATTAAAAACATTAATGGTTTAAAAAGACATGAAACTCAAAAACATAAAAATATAATAGCCTGTCCGTAAGTATATCATCACTAGAAGTTCCTGATTTTTGATTAGGCAATTTAAACAAGCGATCAAGATCTATATAATTAGATTGTTAATGGTTAATAATGGAATTTTATTACACGCAAAAAAAATTTTTCGAGTTGTAAATTTTATTTTATTAAATAAATTTGTTGATTTCGTTCATGTTTCCTCTTGATAGTATATCTTAAATCGGTCGCGTTTACAACCATTTTGACATTCGTTATATAAGGTTATTTTGATTATATCGAGAGATATGGCCAAGAGAAGAGTTAGGAAGAGAGTTATTCTTCAACCAAGTCGAA